TACCGGGGCGGGCGTGCTGCCGGCGGCGACGCGTGTCGGGCAGGGCGCCGAGCACGGTGTAGCGGCCGAGCAGCGGGCAGCGCGCGGGCGCCGGCGCCGCGGTGACGAGCGTGAGGTAGGGCAGGGCGGGGTCTGCGGCGCGGGCGCCGGCGCAGGCGTCCTGCGGCGCGTCCCAGAGCGCGGCGCCCTGCTGCAGCTCGAGCACGCCGCCGTCGCGCCGGTGGAACTGCAGACAGACGTGGCCGGACTCGCAGCCGCGCGTCACGTGCGCCACCAGCTTGATGTAGCGGTTGTCGCGCTGCTCCAGGATGGAGTGGCAGACCAGCCGCCGCTCCTCCGCCGCGCCGATCTCCGACATTATCTGCGCGTCACGTAATATTGTATACGAGTTGGTGTCGGGTGTTGGTGCGAGGTGGCGGGGCGCTGGGCGCTGGGCGCGGGGCATACCTTGAGCGTGGCGTTCTTGGTGGTGAAGTGGTACTGGTGCGCGTGGTCGAGGCTGAACCACTTGTGGTGCTCCACGATCCAGGCGGGGAAGTGGCAGCGGTTGTGCTCGTCGTCGCCTGCCGCCGCATCATATTTAGGTATTTACATGGTAAGTACAAAAGTACGGTGTATACCGCATACAACATTGTTTCATGAAATTAATGTATGTGCAAGATAGTGTGTGTGTGAGAATGAGAGAGTGAGGGAGAGAGAGAGGACGCACTGTTGGTGAGCTTCATGATACGGCTGCCGTCAGTGGGCGAGGAGAGGCCGTTGCAAGTGGCGTCGCCGGACTGCGCGATGTTGTATGTCATGCTGCGCTCGCCGTGCTGGCCCTTGTACACGAAGCACCTGCGACACAACCTCACCGTGTGCACTATCACGTCACATACTTCTCAGCACCAGTACACAGACCGACACAAAACTATATTGCTTCTGAGAATGCTTGTAATACTTCAGCACAAATAAGTAGGTATCAACGTCGGAAAATACAAGTGGATGAAATCGTACTCCCGGCCTTTGGTCGTCGTCGAGTCGGCCTCGATTAGATTAGTCTGTCTAAATTTTATTTTTCCGATCGACTCGGCGGGGGCACTGCTGTGCCTCCAGATTACCATTCCATCGAATATATGTATTGTTCTCAAGGTGGCTCACCTGAAAGTGTCCTCATCTGAGGCGATGGAGTTCCTCCGCTGCACCTGTGAGATCTGCCCCACCAGGTAGCGCGTCGAGCCCTCCTTCCACGTCGCCAGGCACACCAGCTCCTCCACTGCTCATGCCGCGCGTGCACCGACAACATCACGTTAGTTGGAGAGTGAGGAGTGGGACGGGGGCGAGGGCGAGCGGTACGCACCGTTGCTCTCGGTGCCGGGCACGTCGGGGCAGGCCATGTAGCGCAGCAGCAGCCGGGAGTCGTCGGTGCAGGCCTCTGCGCGCGAGGGCGGGTTGGCGCAGTCGCCGGAGCCGCGGCTGTAGGTGAAGGTGAAGGGCGCGGGGTGGAAGGGGCAGGGCTGCGGTTCGGGCCGCGGCTCCTTGCGGAACATCGAGTACAGCGGCGCGTCCCCGCTGATCGACTCGCAGATCGACGACATCGAGTCCTTCTCCGAGCAGAACGCTGCGCACACGATGCGATATCCCATTACTCAATACAGCTTGCTGAATAAAAACTAAATTACATATCAAATCTAGCAACAAAATTTACATTCGAATAGGAAATTGAATATGTTAACCTGACAATCCCCTATAACCCTCGGAGTGTTACCTGTATGCAAACACAGATAGAAATTGCTCACAAATTGTGCCAGTGAAAAGACGGCGTCACTTACTTTCTTTGTATTGTAGGACATATTTGTGCTTTTCCAATATCACCATGCACCTGTAGCAGTCCTCCCGCCTGCAACACAACATTAACGTGTCAAGCGTTGGCGAGGTACGAGGGGCGAGGGGCGAGGGGCGCGGGGCGCGGGGCGAGGGCGGAAGGGCACGCACCTGTCGTAGAGCAGGAACTTGTCGTAGGACTCGGACTCGTAGCACTCGCCTTTGGAGTGTATGTGCGTGGAGTTGATGGCGATGAGGGCCGGGCTGCCCGACTGAAACCAGCTGCCCGCCCAGCCCGCCGGGAACGTGCACCCGCCGCCTGCGCGTTGTTAATTCTTCAATTCACTAACAATACAGCTAACAAATATATAAATAGAACCTAAAAGTTAAAGATGTTTTTTTCTTTATTTCATCAATCAATCACAAGGATTGATCAAAACTCATCATCGTAAGTAATTTATGCCTTCGGAAGCAAACTTAAACATACTCAATATTTATTTGTATCATTTATTACCTGTCACATGTAATTGTAAAAATTAAAAAAAAACAAAACTGATTTCATATAAAATTGACCATGGTAAAAGTTCGACCAACAAATGGTCGCGACCAACGAGGACGTACACGACAATATCAAAAACGTTTGGCAGCGGTAATATAAAAAACGCGACTGGTGACTGGCGACTGGTGACTGGTGACTGGCGAGCGTCAAAGTAATTTTTAAAACAAACTGAATTAAGACAACAAAACTTGCGCACATATTTTCACATTTGATCGAAACAAAACATAAAAGGCGGTTTAACGCAGAGGAAATTAAATAATTCTGGCGGCAACAAGAGAGCTGGCGTCCCCGCAATGACGGCTGTTGTCTTGTCTTGTTCCACTCTCTCTATTCTCAGTATATTCCGTTTAAAATGGTCTCAAATATATTATCACTATTATCTATTACATTTGGAACTATTTAATGAATAGTGAGTGAGCGGTGTATGAGCGGTGTGTGAGCGGTGTATGAGCGGCGTGTCAAATATGGTACTAAAGCTGTAAACACAACGCGACGCCCCCGCCGCGCTTCTGCTCGCTTACGAATTATTCCTTAAACAAACTCACTACACTAAGTTACCACATAACATTTGTTATATACCGATTATAATGCATAGACAGTCCGCGGCGGCGCTAGCTGGGCCGGGCCGGGATGGGCCGGGCCGGGCGCAGGTGAGCGCTTTGTGTAGAAGCCCCTGTTATTTGTAGCGAGGAATAAATAAGAAGCGGCGGCACAGGGACTGTAATGCAGCCATCACTCTTTATAATGTATTGAACGCGATAAATATTGAGGTACAGGGATGGGAGGGGAGAGGGAGAGTGGAACGACAAGGCGCCGCGCTAATACTAAATTCGTATAGAATTGTCCTATCTTATGCGTCAAGCTATTTGTTCTATACATGATGTGGGCGCGGTGCCGCGACGTCGGCTGCAACCAGCGTGCCCGCCAACCGCTACGAGCCGTACAATTATCTATGATGTGACGGGGCGCGGGCATCTGGCTAATGGTGCTAGGCAGATGAATATTTTGTTATCTGGACACGCTTACAATTTTCCTGTAAATTTTTTCCCCAGAAAGCCAATTACTATACGATAATTTCAAAAGTCAACAACGCGAGTGAGTTGAATGTTGTGCGTGCGCACGAGAGCACCGGCACGCACCTAATTGGCTATTGCAAATTCCTGCGCGCACCTATAGGTAATCGGATAATCAGTAATCGGACGCACCTCTGCCATCCCACCGCATCTCCTTAACGAGTCTACTTGTCGGCGTTCAGACGCTGGCTGCATTGTTTTTAACGGCAACTTCAAACTAGGATTCGTGTATGGCAAACGCGTATAGACCGCGCAGGGGCATCAGCACTCCGGGCGGACTACATGTCGTCACCAAACCTACTCCATTTTACTGGACAGTTTCATGAATCCTTCTAAAATTATATACAGGGTGTCCCAAAAGGTTACGTACACAGGAAGGGGGATAATAGGGGTGGTCACAAGTCACAAGGTCAGCGCAGAATTAAAAATATAGTATGGTCTAACCAAGAATATAAAAACTAGTACTGGTGGCGTTACTACACCGCTTTCAGTAATCATTCTATAACTGATGAATTAGTAATAAGAAGGTGACGGACGTATCGACAATACGAAACTACCGGCGTACCTGTACACAAACCCGACACCCGACCTCCGACACTCGAAGCGAAACTAATTATTTGTCGCATTATTGCAAACAAAGGAGCTGCTGCACACAACAAAATGCATAAAAACTATAAATTACGCATGCTACCCACAGTTTCACAACAAAAGCACTTAAACAAATCCTTGCCGCCCCCCTTCCGCCCCCTGACTATCAATGAATCTCGAACTATCTTTCTATTCTTTGTTGATAATATTTTTTACACTGAAAGTATTTGTAAGATGATCTCAGTATCTTTATAGGAAGAAACCATTAATATATGTTATCTATCAAACTATTTTAAATCGTCGTCAAAATGTTTAATTCGTGTACATTTTTGTGATGCCCTGTTCACATATAAATAGGAATGTTTGAACTTGGAATCTTGGTAGGGCAGTAGTTTGTGAGGTTTACATTACAACACACCTGTAGGTACAGGAATGGTACAGCAGTGGCACAGCAGGCCACCATCCTTGAATATTGTGTTACTTCGAGATAGAACTTTGCTTGTTATAATAACCCTGTATAAAGTGTGATAACGAGTATACGTGTATATACATATATGTTGCGCACTGATCACACAATATAAACATAAAAGTCTAATCATCGAACATGAAACAAACCTCGTGTATTTTACAGTTCTAATATGTGTTAAATTTAGTATTTATAATATATTTTATACCGTGCTTTGTATATATTTGTAAACCGTGATTTTAAATTTTGTTGTGCACGGAGGAAGTCGCGGGCGATCGCTAGCGTACTCGTAGCTGGTCGGTCCGCCCGCGCTGCAACATTGCTGAAGCTTTATAGTAGTGTTGATTTATATCTCCAAAGGAATTTAGGAGAGACAATTTAATTATCGCGAATGTTATTAGATACAGCGGGCAGTGAGCTGTGAGGGATTGGTGACAAAGGTGAAGCGCGACTTGATCCTTTTACACGAAGAATGCGGCCTCTCTCCCCGGCCAGCACCCGCCTCACCGCCGCGGCGTGGTCGCGGTGGCATCACAGCGACGCTAAACAAGTGGGGCAATCCCTTATATCTGTCAGGCAGATTGCCGTGGTGCGCGCGATGCACGAAGGCGGACTCGTGTTCCGTGCGCTACCGTGATATCATTCTACATCTGATGGTTTCCATCATCGACCCTCGAGGACTACGTTGCGACATGTTATTATCTCCTCGTGCAGAAGGATTCATAGCAAACAAACACGTGTCGAGGCGACAGCCAAATAGCACTCCGCACCGGCACCGAGCGCCGCAGCTGCGATCCACTAGGTGCGCGGCAGCGACGCCTCCATTAATCACGGTTTAAGCCTCACTCCATAACTGCAGTTATTTATGTTCAAATTTCTTTCAGTCGCGGAGCAGATACGGAGCAGAAAAGGATTTCCCGGGCATCGTAACTCCTATGAACCCTCGCCCTCTAGCGCCGGTACACTAGTATGAGCATACTCTGCATGGATTTTTGACCTTATTCCTAGAGTCATGATTTATGGCTATTTGTAAAAACAAGTATACATATTCCGGTTGTAAAATAGTGCAATTTATAGACTTCCTAACTATATAAAGGAATATGGAGGAGGAAATATAACGAAAGTGCAGCAGCGGAATGCATAAAATAAGTACAAGTAGCTGGACATTTCAGTGAATGGGTTTATTTATATAAAGCTCCAAACGTCAGGTGTCAGGTCGGCTGACAGATGGCGGACGCACCGGAGCCGCTGGATAAGGCGAGGATTTGTGAAAAACGCCCGCCGTTTAAGCGATCTATATTTGAAATGTAGCGAAGAGGCACGTTTCGGCCGTTAGGGACGCGACTGTCGCCTGCACCGTTTTAAATTTATAATGAATCGTATTGTATACATATAAGAGCACAGTTTAAACGAATAGTCGTGTCGAAATCTTTCATAACTACTAACTCGCGACAAGGTAGTTAAATCATTTAACAAATCTTACCAGTAACTGAGTTTAAAATTAGGAATTATTCTAATAATCATATGCAACGATAGCGGGCTGCAGCTGTTCCCGCAAGGTTGCGCTGCGGTGTGACTGGCTTACCATACGAGGAGCACACGGCCAGCGCCAGCAGCAGCAGCAGCAGCAGCAGCGCCGCAGACATGATGCCGCCCGCCCCGTGCTCACTACGCACCCGCCCCCACTATATCACATAATATTGGATTTCTAAAGGTCACTTTGTGTACACTCAAAGTCCTTGCCAGTCGTGGTGGTGTGGTGCGCCGCCAACTCATTCGCGGTGTGGCTCCCGTGCCTGTACAAATATAAACACACAATTATCACAAGACAATTTAAAGTTTTGGAAGCGTTTTGTCGTTATACAAGAAACATATTACATTAATGAGGTACAGGTTAAAGTAAGATTTGAACATGTTATAATAGGGGTTGCACCTCAGTGAACATATATGTTAAATTTCTTCAACAAAAAGTTTAATTGAAAAATTATAATAGCAATAAATAGTTGGTTTTACAAAAGTAACTGGACTGGATCAACTAGTTGCTTTCTAATATAATATAATTATCCATATGTACAACATACAACTATTTATATATTTACATTGGGTACTGTTAGCTGTTGGGTTATTTTTGTTCATCAATATGCTATATCACATCACCATTGAGTTCTTGTTATTGGAAAAGTCAACCAGCACTATCAATCATTTAGTTATATTAAACTTGTCTTTATTCTCATCATCAGCTCACTATACGTCCCCACCGAGGGGCTCGGAGCCTACACATGCCATAGTCAACCACGCTGGCCCAGTGCGGGTTGGTTGACTTCACACATATCTTTGAATTTCTTCTGAGATATGTGCAGGTTGCATCACGATGCTTTCCTTCACAGTAAGAACGTCGGATAAATGTACATATGTAAATAGGAAATCGAAAAACACATTGGTACATGGCGGGATTCGAACCCAGGACCTGCAGATTGCAAGTCAAGTGCTTAAACCCTGAGCCACCGATGCTCCATGTCGCGAGTTCCCATGTGAGTCCATGTGAGCAACGCTCATAGTCTTCATTCATACTTTTAATATGCTTCATCCCACCAAACAAACACAATAGGGCTGCCAACTGAACAATTTAAATTATATCTTAACTAGTCAAGAAAGAAAAAAAAAATTTGAGGAAATTTTGGTATTTAAGGAGAAACAAAATAGAGTGTTTAAAAAATGAACACATTATTTTTTTTAAAGAAATCATCATCAACTTAATTTATTTATGTTTCAATAACATCATTTTTAGACTATCTATATTTTATTTACTTTACAAAATTCTGTATTCAAGCAGTGCCAAGCATGATGATGCAATATGTATGTATGTATGTATGTTTGATGTGAGACACAATGTCCTCGTCCCCCTTACAATCTCAAACAAGAGTCTGTAGTTTGGTAAAATTATTTAATTAATATGGTATATAATACTATTTAAAAACAACATTTTTTAGTCAATCATCAAATTTGTCAATGTGTGTAAAATATTCTGTTTATAATGGTAAAATTTTGTAAACATGCCTTTAAGATTAACTAACATAAGAAAAAATTAAATAAATGATTGGACATTTAAAATTCAATTTTGTTTCTCCAACTTTAAGAAGCTGTATTTGTTTTTGTTACACCAACTTTTTTTATGAATGACCAAATGTTACTCATGTCTGAAGTATGAAAAATAATACATTTTATGTCTGTCTTGAAGCTTTCTTTCATTTGTTTATCATTTACAATATACACTGCAAATGGAGTTGCGAAAAACTTAGCCCTACAACTGACAAAAAATCCAATTAAAAAGTTAAGGCCAAGAATCTCATAATTTTCATATAAAACAATAGATGTTAAGGCTCCCAAACTCCCTAAAGTGTTTGATCTACCCAAAAAGAATAATCATTTAACAGTAGCACCCACTTCTGGAGAAAGAAATTTGCAAAAGTGGGTGCCAGTGTTGGTCTCAGCCGATAAGTACAGCATTGTTGTTTGTTGTTAATGTTTTAATTGGAAATAGTGTACTTCAAATTTTTATACATTTTAAAAATAAAGTACTAAGTATGTAATTTTTTTTAATTGTTCCTTTTGATGTTGCCTGTTTTATTGTAACTTATACTAGTCTCATATCACTATTTCCTAACCCTTACATTTTACCACAAAGAAATGAATTTAAAAAGTGACACCTTATATATTAATCATCCATTCTATTGCACATTGCAGTTGCACAAATCACACATTGCCCCCGTCAGTGACGTGTTTTACAATATTTTTTTTCATTGCTATGAATTATTCCTTTTTTTTCTCAAATATTTACATTTCCACATTTTATTGTTTTATATTATTGATGCTTAATATAATGCATGTATTCATTTGAGTGACAAATAATACACTCCTGTTCCTTTTTAATTAAATTAATAAAATGTTCACTAACCTTATATGATACAGTACTTCAGTGGTATCCAAACTTTTTCATAAAATTTTCACTCATCACACCACTGTTTTTCGAACATTTATCACTTTAACGTTTGGCAGAATATACAAATGATTAACTCCAATTAATATTAGAACATAATACTAGCATTATCGAACGGAACATTTACAAAAGCATGGAGATTATGCATTTTTTATTATCTCTGTCGATTGCTATTGCAGCCACTACACAGAACACGAAGAAAGGAATTATCCGGTACAATTATATCACTCACATACACTTTACTAATTTCATTAATAAACACCTAAAAATCGATCCCACAAGGTTTACGACAATTCGTAGAGAAAGGCTGCGGCGGTGTCAAATTCATTATTTTTCCAATCTTGCAATACACGGTGATGTGTTTTGTTTTATAAACTGCATTTGTTGTAGTGCATCACAGCGGAAATAATGTCCATCTTAATCAATTTTGCTAGCATTTTTCTATTAACAAAGATACAAACAACAAAAAGATTGTGAAACCGCACGCGTTCCAATGTTCCGTCGGCGAGTCAGTCACGGATGATGTTGGTTGGCACCAGTGTTGCCAATGAAAATTTTGATCAACGGTGAGCCCTAGCACAAATAAAAAAAGGAAACATTTTCCATTATTCGCCAAATGTTCTATCGTTTTTACCATTATTGAAACAAATAGTAAGCCTAGTGCTTAATGTAAGCAAATTGTTCCTTATTATTTAACAAAAAAAAATTACAATCTTTTTAAGCATCAATATCATAGTTTAAATTTCATTTTCCTGGTACAAATTATTGTTAAACAATGGCTTTTTTCCTTATTTCTTATTTTAAAACACTTACATGAAACATTTATTAATATAGATTTTGAAAAGCCCTAAAACATGTTATGGTCATAGGGTTGCGGCCGTAGTCTGTAGATTTTGCTATTTTTTTTTTAAATTTATTTATTGATATAAACAAAGAATAAAATACAAATTTACAATAAAAGTGTCTATAAACCCATTGCGGGATTGTCCAGACACTTTGGTACTACGCTATGAAACGGTAGGTAAGTTACATTTTTTTTATTTACAGCAAATTAGTGAGCTCGCTCATACCGTCATATACAGGGTGCACAAACGCGTTATAAATTTATTAGACTAAGGATTTTAGGTAATGATTTTTAAGTATATTTTTTATGTTTTTGTTGTTTATATTATTTTTTATATGAGTAGGTAAATTATTTTTTAATGTTGGAATTATATATTCTGACGTACGTTTACCATAGACGTTGATATAATCGGGGGTCGAAAATTTTTATTTGTTACGCTCCTAGTTGTAATTTGTTTTCCTGAAAGCCATCGAACACGGTAATTGCCCTAACATTGGCAACACATGTTGGCACTGAGCAAGGTAAGGTAACTCGAGATAGATGTCGTGTTTCTGGCGGCCATTACTTGGCCATTACGGAAAATGGCGACCGAAGCGCACAACTAAACTTTGTACGGAAACCTTGATTTAAATCCAAGTGCATAGAATTTATATTGGATTCATATCTAGTTTATTTAGGAAAACTATTCGATCTTGTAACGCGACAAACTTGAAGAGTCCGACAGAAAATCCCAAAGAATAATGTGCTTTTACTTTTAAATGACAGAACTTACCAAACGCGCATTCCCTCTTGTCAAACAAAAACGAACAGTAATCCCTATTTTTTTTTATATATAAAGGGGTTTCGCCCAACCAATCCTGTGCCAATCCAATGAAATGTCGCCGACGACAGAACGTCCCACACTTGCTTGCTTCATCACCATCATCAGCTCGCTATATGTCCCCACCGAGGGGCTCGGAGCCTACCCTAAGTTTAAGGGTAATTAGGTCATAGTCTTGCTTGCTTGTGTGCTCTAAATAACGTGCTTTAAATAACTGCGATTATCTGCAATTTAGAAAGTGTCAGTTACAGTCGAATTGAACTTTTATTAAAGACCTTCTTTTATTAAAGATCGAAAAAGTTATTCGATCCGGTGGAAAAGTCAAATTAAATTACCCTGGCGCAGCGCAGCACCCCTTAGTCAACGTCAAAAAAGTCTCACAAGAGCCTCACTGATCTGTATAGAATGGGTATGGACTAAGGGTTTGCTTGGAAATGGCAGCTTTTTCTTAGTTTATTCTTTCATCTCGTCGTGTGTATAAAACATTCAAACGACGACTAAAACTTTTAAGGTGGAACACTGCCATTTTTATCCATGTTTTTGCCCCAAAAATGTATTTCTATTATTGACTCGAATTCTCACCACAACTACCATTCGTAAGCATCACTGCCAAAATGGTGAAATCAAATTAACACAAAATACCACGATTCAAAGCCTGTCCATGTGTAGTGGTCAGTGTTTCTTGCTACTTTTGGACATTATTAGTTGGAACCCTTCGGCGCGAATGGCGCGCTTTCGCTACCAAGTCAAGTGTCAGAATGATTAGTGAGGGCATGTACGAATGAATGAATTTATAGGAGTTTTTTTTTTAATGCCAAGATTTTCTTAGCTCCTCACAACAACAACCTTGATGTAGTATCAGTGTTACCGACAATTAGCCACTTCTACAGCTTTCCAGCCAACAAATTGCAAAATCTACGGCATACGGCCGCATCCCTACGGTATGGCTGTGCCCTAAGCGGATTGTTTTTTATTTAGAAATTCACTGTTAAAGCTTTAGGAGTGTGAATAAAATAAGTAAAAAGTAATTTATTAACAATGATTGTACCGGGAATAATATAATTTATCTAAAATATTAATGCATTACCTGTTTCTTGAAAATTGTAAGGCTCGTTTTATCAACAACGAGAGTTTGTGTATTACGCAGAACTTGTGCTAGGAAACGAAAGTTGATAGAAAAGAGCCACATGAAGAACATTTTACGAGATATTTAGTTTATACATATAGAGCGGACCTGTCCGCGCGATCTCCATTGCTCAAAGAGATAAGATCATTTTTTTTATTTAAATCGAAGTCCTCAAACCATCGTGAGCCTATAGAGATAGCAGATATATAGTTATGTTTTTGTTATTATAATAGTCACTTTTCGTGTTCATTTTGTGTTATAATGTTCTAATGTAGAATCATCAGCTGCACTGCGCTGCGCTGCGCTGCGCTGCACTGCGCTGTATACAATGAACAAGAAGGAACATTACATTTATAAATTAGTTTTCCTATGGTAGTCGGTCAAACGCACTTTATTACATTTTGTCCATATTTATAGTTTATATCGCAAGAGTTTTCTCTCAGTTTTTACCTGCGTGGAAGAGTGCGGCGTTATCGACACGTATTTCCCTTGAGTTTCATAGGCCTACATCCAGATGGGTTTTATTATGATAAGCTGTCGCCCGCGACACTGTCCGCATGGAATTACGCCAGACTATGTTCTATATGTACATATGCCAAATGTCATCGAGATCCGTAAGATAAGATTTATAAACGATGCTAAAATACAATGTCTACAATACCTACTAATACTACTTGTCAGTTTTTCATTTAAAAAATGGTAAGCATTCCCTCTTGAATATCAAACTAAGAAATAAATCCTACCCCTTGAATATCGGCTGGCAACAGTCACGTCGCTATTTCAGCGGGTACGCCGCGCGGATGCTCCTCCATAGCATGCGCTTGTCTTCATGGCGGTGTGAGTGCGGTGCGGGGGGCGTGCGGGGTGAACATCACACACACATCACTCGGTTCCCAACAAGCGCTCAAGCTGGTAGTGCGCCGCAATGTATCATAATTTAATTATAGTTTTCCTGTTGTATTTGTTGAATAATTTATGTAAGTTCTTTGCTGCTTTCAATTTTTTTTTGTTCTTTATTACAAACAAGAGGTTGTTCAGAGAATGATATTTCCCTTTATGTACATACATCTTCTCCCCGATAATATGCATTTCCCTTTCACATTGAATTAGGAAGCTTATTACAAAAGGGTGAGTTCGACTGCGGCTACTGTCGTGAACCATAATATCCTAGTGCGTACAAATTTACAGCTTAGTGGAAACATTTGTAAGAAATATTTAGGACAGTGCGCCTGCGCCCGCGCCGCTAACGGAAACCTGTCGTGCAAATATTCTTTGGCACATAACATACTATCTACTATAAGGAAATAATGCATGAAAGCAAAAACCTTGTCCATGGAGTTAAAATATATTAAATATTTGTTTTACAGACGGGACAAACGCACGACGGCTGGGTAAGAATGTTTCAAATAAATCTTTGGACTGATTGATAAATAGTTGCAAACAAATTGACAAAAAAAATATATATGTATGTCCAATTTTAGAACTGAAAATAACAGACCCGAACGGACGATCGTATACAAATAAAAAATACCACTACAGGGAGGAGCTGAGCGTCGTGCTGAAGTGCCAGCTCTCCAACAACCAGACCATGTTTGAAATGTTTTGGATGTTAGGTGATGTTTGTTGTTTATTGATAAATCTATAGTATTGTGTTTGCATTGCATAAGCTCCGAAACTACTAAACCGATTTGATAATTCTTTACTGTTGGGCTACACTATCCTACGGGTGACCGAGGCTATATTTTTTATTAGATTTTTTTTTCTCTTTCGTGCGGACGAAGTCGCTTGCACCCGCTAGTACTTTATAAAGCAGAGGCTTACATTTTCCACAAAATCTAGTTATTTTTTTTTAGATACATACATACAAGCTTTCAGGTTATTGGGCTTAAGAAAATGTAACATTAAATGTACAATGTGAGCCTTGTATAATAGCAGTATCAGCAGTAGCCATATAAAGTGTATCAAGCTAGAAAATGTAAAGAATTACATAAAGTTTAAACAACATAATAACGGCTTGACTACGCCTGTTGCATTTCAGACGGGGTAAAGACGCGTGTCTCGACAGCGTCCACTGCGTCAGACGAATTGATGGTGGTGCTCGGAGGGCGCGAGCCGCGGGTGCAGTGCGAAGCGCGCGAGGTGCCCGCCGGCGACGGCACCACAAACCTCACCGCCTCTGTGACATTCGTCAAAGACACGCAGACCACAACAACGTTGGCTCCGAAAGAGCCCGACACCGGTAACATGGCTGACTCTTACAAATGAAAGCTTGCGATCTGAAGAACACTTTTTTTTTTTTTTTTTAAGGTAGTATTTTGTTGTGTCAGAGGACAAGGGCGTGGCCAGCAGCGTGGCGGCGGCGCTGGCTCAGCGCGCGGTGTTGTACGCGGGCGGCGCCGCGGCGCTGCTCGTGCTCGCCGTCGCATTCCTTCTCGCCACATATTTCTGTAAGCGGAGCTCGGACAAGCGACTCTTAGAGGTATTTCTAAAATATAAATATTTCTCACGGTAACTATACATTTAAAGAATTTCAATATTATTGAATTGGAGGCTTTTTTTTTTTTTTTGGTATTGAGCCATCAAAAACAAAATCTATCAGAAATGCCAAGTCTCTAGTATAATTTTATTTATTCAAAGTTTTAAAATGCAGTTTGAGCTGGACACGGGAGAGTCGGAGGCGGCCGTGTACGCGTCGCCCCGAGACGATGTGCGCGGTCACCCCGCGCCGCCCGCTGTCTATACCGAGCCGTTCAGAGAGACTGGCGCCAACCTGATGTACTCTACGCCTATTCCTAAATGTGAAAGAACAGCATTGAAGACAGAAATGGGTCGCGATGAGAATGGATCATATTATGAATATGTGAGGCAGGTGAAACAGGTGAAGCCGAGAAGCTGCGATGCTCGCTATGTAAACGGTCTTAATAACAACAATACTTAAAAGAACGTCCATTAAACAACTAAACTAAATTGTCACCACAAGGAAGAGTGAATTAAAAGATGACTAATGAGGTAAAAAAAAAATGAATTAGTTAATAATGCTACGAAAAATTAATGTTTCTTTATTTGTACTAAAAAAAAAAAAAAAAAAAGAAGAACAATGATGTGATTTTAGTAATGTATATAATATCACAACAATCCCAAAGATGTAAAGAAATATGTAATTGCAAAGTATAAACGTGTTTTATTGAAAACCGCAGTCCCACAGCACAGCACAACTGCAGGAGGACAAGATAAGCGAATCCGCCAATGGAGCATACAAAAGTCCGCGAACTTAAAGGCGACACACCGGCTCGCTGGCTCGCTCTGTATGCTTGAAATTCAAACTTCGCAGTTAAACTAATTCGTAGATCAGGCGAGCCGATAGTGTTGCCAATTTAGCAAACTATGTGCTAAATTTGGGAGATTTTCTGTCCGAGATCAAAATGACGCGATGGCGAAGGCGAGGGGACGTAGAAAACAAATTTGTATTGCCGGCACATCTGGCCGTCATAATCTCGGCGCAGTTCAAGCGGTAGCGCCGATCTACACTAAATATCGGCAGCCGGGACGACGGCGCCGGGTGTCGGGTGTGCGGCGGAGACGCCGCTATAGTAAATATATTGCAACTACCACGGCGCCGTAATCTCGTTCTCTTTTTGTTAACGCGGGGAATGCGTTTATGGACTTCGCCGTCCGTGCTGCGGGGGCAGCAGGGACGGTTTCGTGGGGGACTCCCGGCCTGGGAACAAGACCGGACTACCCACTAAACCCCGCGGTGTTCTCCTACGCCCAACCGGACCGTGGCATCTACGTTAGTTTATCCACGGCCCGACTAGGGGGGAGCCCCTTGGTAGGGGCTCGACTCGTGTAGGGAGGGGTCATATCTTAGACCCCTCCAATCACCCTATGATGAAACCCTCCTCAGAACACGAGAGGAGGGCCATCCGCCACAATCGGCGCGACAGGTCCCCCGACCCGTCGCGCGTGGCACTCTCTAACTTGATTGACCGCCTAGCCTCCGAGCTAGTAAAAGTTATCGGAGACTGGGCGGACGTCGCCCGCCCGTCCAAACCGGTCGACCTCAGGGTCACCGGCCTGGACGAGACGGTGACCCGTGAGGAAGTGGCGGAGAAGGTGGCGACGGCTGGGGGCTGCCCCCCCAGCGCGGTCAAAGTGGGCCTCATCAGGTCCAACTTCTGGGGTGGCGGCTCTGCCATTGTAAAGTGCCCCGCGACGGCTGCCAAGGCAGCCGTCAAAATAGGGAAGGTGGCCATTGGCTGGACCATGGTCACCATCAACGCGGTGCAGGCCCGGCCATTGAGATGCTACAAATGCATGATGCTGGGCCACACTCGCGCCCTATGCCCAACGGAAGCGGAGAATGGTCAACTCTGCTTCCGTTGTGGCGAAGCGGGTCACAAGGCGGCCGCCTGCGAGGCGCCCTGTAAATGCACTCTGTGTGCCACCACAGGGCGCCCGCACACGCACGTGATGGGGGGCAATAAATGTGTGCCCCCCACCGTGAAAGGGAGGATGACCAGGCTGCGCCCTAGCCCAGCGCAGCCCAGCCAGCCGGCCGAGGAAGCATAGTGAATTCCTGCAGACCAACGCCAACCACTCCGCCCGCGCACAGGACCTGCTCATGCAGGTTCTGGCGGAGTGGAGAATTGCCGTTGCGGTCGTGGCCGAACCCTACGTGATCCCCCCCCATTCCAGCTGGGTTGGGGACACGGAGGGTTTGGTCGGCATGGTGGCGCCGCCGGCGGGCCAACAACGCCTCTCCCTTAGAGAGAGGGGTGCCGGCTACGTGGCGGCAAACTGGGGAGAAGTAGTTCTCATCGGAGTCTACTTCTCCCCAAACAGGAACCTCTCGCAGTTTGAGAGGTTCCTGGATGGCCTGGAGCCGGTGGTACTGAGGGCATCGCCGGCCCAGGTCATCGTGATGGGGGACCTCAACGCTAAGTGCGCGGAGTGGGGGTCCTCCATCACCGACGCGAAAGGGGTGCTTCTCCGGGACTGGGCCACAGTAATCGGCCTAGCCCCGGAGAACCAGGGCACTGGCTACACGTGCGTGCGCGGGCGGGGTGGCTCAGTGGTGGACGTAACGTTCGCCACCCCCGCCATCGGCGCACGCATAACGTGTTGGCGTGTCCTGGAGGAGGTGGAGACCCTGTCCGATCATTTATACATTCGGTTCAGGGTCTCCAACGCGCCCCGCGGGCGTCAGACCCGGGCGGCGGGCGGAAGAGGCGTGGGAGGCTTTCCGAGGTGGCAGCTCTCACGCCTCGACACGGACCTGGCGGAGGAGGAGGCCGTGGTCCGCGCATGGTCGGCGGACCCCCATCAAGGCATGGGGGTCGAAGAAAGGGCCGTCGGGTTCCGCCGGGACCTGACGGCCATATGCGTCGCCGGCATGCCCCGGGCGCGACGCCCCGCGCCCCGACAGAGGGTGTACTGGTGGACGCAGGACCTCGCGGCCCTGCGTGCCACCAGCAACGCTGCCCGCCGCGCTTTCTCCCGGTGCCGAAGACGTCGGCACCGGGAACCGGGTGAGCTAGAGCGCCTTCAAGCCGAGATGCGGTCGGCAAAGAAGGCGCTCTCAGCCGCCATCGGGGCCGCCAAGGACGCCGCCTATGCTGAGTTCTTGACGGTCCTGGACGCGGACCCGTGGGGGCGCCCGTACCGAATGGTACGGGCCAAACTAAAGGCGGCGCCCCCTACGGAGGCCATGGAGCCGGCCGTCCTCAGCGCGGTGGTCGAGGGGCTATTTCCTAACAGCCCCCCATTCGAACCACCGCGCATGGCACCGCCAAGTGCCGAAGATGAGGACGATGCCGCCCTAGACCCTCCTCTGATAACAGAGGAGGAAATGGTATGGGCGGCTCGCCGGCTCCAAGGACCCCGGAAAGCCCCGGGACCGGACGGCGTGCCCGGGAAGATTCTCCCCACCGCACTTAAACACCTCGGGGATCGCCTACGCTGCCTTTTCAATGACTGCTTGGCAGCGGGGCGTTTCCCTGAGGTGTGGAAGGAGGGGCGGCTGGTGCTAATTAGGAAAGACGGCCGCCCCGCGGACTCTCCGGCAGGATACCGCCCGTTGGTGATGCTGGATGAGGTCGGGAAGCTACTGGAACGTGTGCTGGCTTCCCGGATCATCCAGCACCTAGCGAGGGACGGGCCGCAGCTCTCCGTGAACCAATTCGGGTTCCGGTCGGGACGATCCACTATGGTCGCCCTGGCCGCCCTGAAGAGGTTCACCGAGGAAGCGGCCCAGAGGGGGCAGGGAGCCATAGCGGTGTCATTAGACATCGCTAACGCCTTCGGCTCCCTCCCCTTCTCGGTAATAGAGGAGGCGCTCCGGTACCATGGAGTGCCCCTCTACCTGCGGAGAGTTATAGGGCACTACCTGCAGGGACGGGTAGTGTCCTACATGGGGAGAGAGGGCCGCCAAGAGAGGCGGATGGCATCCGGTGTTCCCCAGGGGTCTGTATTGGGACCCCTGCTCTGGAACATCGGATACGATTGGGCCATCCGCGGAGAGGTGCTGTCCCGGATGGCGGTCATCTGCTATGCGGATGACACGCTGGTCGCCGTCCGGGACACCACTTGGCAGAGAGGTAGGCGAAGGGCTGAGGCCGGAGTCACCTTGTTGACCCGGAGGATCGAGGCACTAGGCCTCCGAGTGGCCCTCAGTAAAACCGAGGCCCTCTGCTTCAAAGGGCCGAAGTGGAGGGTACCGGCGAGGGCCACCCTCCGGGTCAACGGCGACGAGATCGGGGTCAAGGCCCGGATAAAATATCTGGGTCTTGTCCTCGACGGGGGTTGGCGTTTCAGTGACCATTTCCGCGCGCTGACCCCCCGGCTCGTGGGCGCGGCCTCAGCCCTTGCGAGGCTCCTCCCTAACCTGAGAGGTCCGGGTGTACATGCAAGGCTGCTGTACACCACGGTCGTCCGAAGTATGGCCCTGTACGGTGC